TCACATCCGTAGGTTACTACAGGGAATACCATGGCTTTGACTAGGCGGATCTTTGTTGCCAGTCTGATGTCTCTACTCTTTACTATTTTATCGAGACTGGACATTGCTCTCCTCCCAAGAAGTAAGCGTCTTCTGATTTCCTGGCCACAGTCTGCATCTGCAGTAATCTTTGCGCCTAGAAATACAAAGTCTGTCACGGCCTCCACATTTTCTCCCTCTATTTTCCAGTTGTCAATCATTCTTGTTGCCATAATCTTGGTTTTTTTGACGTTTAGCTGCAACCCGGCTTTTGCGCTTTCTTCTTTCACCTTGATTAGAAGGCTCCTCAGCTCCTCCTCGCTTTCGGCCATCAGAGAGGTGTCATCTGCATATCTGAGGTTGTTAATGTTTCTTCCAGCAATTTTCACCCCAGCTTTGCATTCATCAAGCCCCGCACATCGCATGATGTGTTCTGCATACAAGTTAAAAAGGTTGGGTGAGAGGATGCAGCCTTGCCGTACGCCTTTCCCAATCTTGAACCAGTCTGTTGTTCTGTGGTCAGTTCTTACTGTTGCTACTAGGTTGTTATACAGATTTCTCAGGAGACAGACAAGTGACTTGGGATCCCCATCCCACCAAGAACATGCCACAATTTATTATGATCCACACAGTCAAAGGCTTTAGAATAGTCAATAAAGCAGAAGTAGATGTTTTTCTGAAACTCCCTGTCTTTCTCCATTATCCAGCGGATATTGGCAATTTGGTCTCTCGTTCCTCTGCCTTTTCTAAACCCAGCTTGAACATCTGGCAACTCTCGCTCCACGTATTGCTGGAGTCTTCCTTGCAGGATCTTGAGCATTACCTTACTGGCATGAGAAATAAGAAAATATTTTAAATCCATAAATGATCAGATCTATTAAACCCACAAGAATGGAGGGCCGAGTGTATACAGCTCTATTCAGTATTATTTGGGTGGGACACTTATGGTAAATGCACTTTGCCATCTGTTGCCCACCCAAACATTGCTATAAGGTAGTGTATGGGCAAAAAGGCAATGTAAGGAAACAGAAAAGGAGCAAACAGCTGTGCTCCAAAGTTGGTAGCATTACAACCGTTAAACCCGTGGTCCACAGACACCAGTGGTCCGCAAAAACCAAAATATGGTCTGCGGCCTCACCGTTACTACACCATTGCAACAAGAAGGACTGGTCTCATGAAACCGTCTTATAGTTACGAGGCTTATGTGGGTTGTTGTACATTTTTCAGGCTGTATGGCCATGTTTTAGAAGCATTCTCTCCTGGCGTTTCACCTGCATCTATGGCAGGCATCCTCAAGAGGTCCCTCACAACCTCTGAGGATGCCTGCCATAGATGCAGGTGAAACGTCAGGAGATAATGCTTCTAGAACATGGCCATACAGCAAAAAAAAAAAAAAAACCTACAACAACCCAGTGATTCCAGCCATGAAAGCCTTCAACAATACATTGAGGCCTATATGGTTTTCTGTGGGTGAGCAGATTGTGACTACTGGATGGCATATGTTCTGTATGAGAAACTAGATCTGATAGATCAGAAACTAGATCTATTCAATGCAATTTTCTGAATCAGCACCCCCAAAAACCAAACCCAATGTAAAATTAACCAAAAACTGATTCATAACCTTTTTGGTATTAACTTTGGAGAGTGGTCCCTGGTCAAAGTAGTCCCTGGTCAAAAAAAGGTTGGGAACGACTGTGTTAAACCAATCTCTGCTGTGCAAGACTCATGCAAGCAGGACCAATATGTGAAACTGCAGGTGACAATGATGAAGAGTTAATACTGTTGACCCCAAGGTCTTTATTAGGAATCATCACCATCTATGAATGAAGCAGACCGAATCCCATGTGATACTCAGCCTCATTCACATTTGACTTGCTGTCCACATTTTTCCACTAATAATGGAAACCTTTCCCAGTCAGAATATGGACATTTCTCTGTGCTTGTGCTGAGCATGATTGGTCTCCGGGGTTATGAAATGCTCACGGCTATTCAGCCTCCTGCACACACCTCGCCAGAAGGGGATTGTAACAACTATAATCACAGTGGGAGAAATAGAGAACAGCAGTCCTATTGCCAATACATCATTCTGTCACATCATTTGCAATTGTAACTTTAAGCTATGACACGAAGAATGTTGACCAATACTTCGAAGGGAGCAGATTGAGGGGGTCAGAGTTTAAGAATGTGCATTTAATCATTCTCTCTCTCTCTCTGTATATGCAATAACTGAATATTTTGGTAATGAAATGATGTGTATTGTATATACTGAATAAACCTTGGATTATCTTGATGCTTTACAAAGCAAGTTTATGTTCAGTGGGATTTATGTCAGTGTAAATGTGTTCAAGACCAGGACCTCAATAAAAATCAATTATTCCTAGTACTTATTGTTTGCTGTAAAGCTAATCTTCTCTCCTAAAACACTTTTCTCAAATCATAAAAATCTCCAATAATAAAAATTTCCATTAAGACTCATCATACATTTTTTATAGCTTTCATTTCCTCGGCATAATGCTTCACTTCTTTCTGTCCTCATTTGGGTTTTATCACCTAGTCCAGGGTTTCTTAACCTTCCTAGTGCCGTGACCCCTTAATACAGTTCCTCATGTTGTGGTGACCCCCCCAGCCATAAAAATATTTTTGTTGCTACGTCATAACTGCAATTTGCTACTGTTATGAGTCGTAATGTAAATATCTGATATGTAGGATGTATTTTCATTCACTGGACCAAATTTGGCACAAATACCCAATATGCCCAAATTTGAATACTGGTGGGGTTGAGGGGAGGATATATTTTGTCATTTAGGAGTTGTAGTTGCTGGGATTTATAGTTAACCTACAATCAAAGAACATTCTGAACTCCACCAACGATGAAACTGAACCAGATTTGACACATAGAACAAACATGACCAACAGAAAATACTGGGTTTGGTGGGCATTGACCTTAAGTTTTGGAACTGTAGTTTGCCTACATCCACAGAGCACTGTGTACTCAAAAACTGACAGATCTGGACCAAACTTGGCACAAATAATATGTTCAAATGTGAACACTGGTGGAGTTTGTGGAAAATAGAGCTTGATATTTGGAAGTTGTAGTTGCTGAGATTTATAGTTTACCTACAATCAAAGAGCATTCGGAATCCCACTGATAGAACTGGGCCAGACCTTCCATACAGAACCCCCATGCCTTGAAGGGACTCTGTGGTGTGAACCTCCCTTCAGCCTCACATGCTCTCCCTCAACCGTGCATGCGCACCATGCTGCCATTCGCTGAGCATGCCTGCTCTCCTCTCCCTGTTTGGTGTCTTAGAATCAGCCCTCACCTTAGCTGAGAGGCTGGCCAATCACAGTGGAGGAGGGCTTTTGGTGGGAGGATTCGCCATCTGTTTCCAAAAAGGAAGAAAAGACAGGCAGAGAGATCTTCAGCCTTCTCTGCCAAAAGGGTTCCTAAGATCATCAGAAAAATATGTTTCCTGATGGTCTTTGGTGACCCCTCTAAAACCCCCTTGCGACCCCAACAGGAGTCCCTTTCCCAAGGTTGAGAAACACTGACCTAGTTCTAGACAAAACTAAATCACATTCAACAGTTTCAATACAGGAGAAGATCTCAATAATATCTTACAGATAGGCGTTTCCACTGTCTCTGGTTCATGCATTAAAACTCCTGAATATTCCAAATTGGATTTTTTTCGTCATGTCAGGAGTGACTTGGGAAACTGCAAGTCACTTCTGGTGTGAGAGAATTGGCCGTCTGCAAGGACGTTGCCCAGGGGATGCCCGGATGTTTTGATGTTTTATCATCCTTGTGGGAGGCTTCTTTCATGTCCCTGCATGAGGAGCTGGAGTTGATAGAGGGAGCTCATCCACGCTCTCCCTAGATTTGAACCTGTGACCTAATAATAATAATAATAATAATAATAATAATAACAGTAATATACTTTACTTATATTCTGCTTTATCTCCCCGAGAGGGCTCAGAGCGGATTACAGAATTTGTATATATGGCAAACATTCAACGCCATTATACAATTAATAACAGACAGACAGTATACAGACAGAGGTAAAGGCTTCCCCCTTTTTATCTCCGGCATCTGGAGGCTGTGCTCAACTTCCGGCCATGGGGAGGTGCTCTTGTTCCATTTTTCATGCAGAGGAGCCTTTTACCTCCTTGCCAAAATGGTACTTATTGACCTATTCACATTATTGTTTTCAAACTGTTAGCTTCGAAGAAGAAGGGGCAATGGCGGGAGCTCACCCCAACCCACTGCCAACCTTCAGGTCAGCAAGATTTTCTGCAGCTAGCAGTTTAACCTGCTGTGCTACCGTGGCCCCAATAACCTGCTGCTATGATTCACTTGTCTGAATGAACCACTTGCTTGCCATTTAGTTTTCCAACTTTTCACAATCCCACAATATCCGCTTTGAGCTGGGTTATCTGAGTCCGCACTGCCATATATCCCAGTTCAAAGCAAATATTGCGGGATTTTCTGCCTTGATAGTCAGGGTTCTGTGGCTGTGTGGAAGGGCCCTGAGTCTACACTGCCAGATAAGATTCCTGGGATATAGGGCAGTGTCGATTCAGCTTCTGTCACAGAAATAAAAGCGGGATACAAACGAAATGACGAGGAGCACAACAACTCCGCCCCCGGCCTGGGCTGCCCTCCTCCCTCCTCCCCCTCCTCCCCCTCCTCCTCCTCCCATTCCTCCTGCTCCTGACGTCTGGCGCTGGCAGCCCGGCCGGTTCCGCATTCCCGACCCCTCCCCGCTGGCAGCCCTGGGCCCGCTATATAACCGGGGCTGATGCAACCCACCCAGCCGCCCGACGCAGCCTGCGGGAGGGACGGAGCGGCCCGAGCCCAGCCACGGCGGGGACACTGCTGTTCCTCCCGCCGCCGCCGCCTGCGCTCCGCTGGGCTCGGCTCCGGGGGCTGCCAGCAGGAGCAGGAGGAGGAGGAAGAAGAGGAGGAGGAGGCGGAGGAGGAGGAGGAGGAGGAGGAGAGCAAGGCCCGGAGCGGGGCTGCGGCGGTGGGGGCCGGGGAGCAGAGCCTGCCAGCCCCTTCCCGCTGCAGCCGGGCCCCGGAGGCGCCTTCCGATCGGTGGGTACCGCGGGACGGATCCTGACCCCCTCCTCTCCCCCCCCCTTCTCTCTCTGCGTGGGCGTGAGTCCGCGCTCCGTGGGCGCCCCGCATGTCCCTCCCCTCCGCTGCTGAGGCTGGACTTCGTCCTCGGCGGCTCTGCTTGGGTGGGCCTCCACTCCTCGCGCCTTTCCTTCCTCACCCCCTCCCTCCTCTTCCTTCCTTTTCCTTCCTTCCTTCCTTCCTTCCTTCCTTCCTTCCTTCCTTCCTTCCTTCCTTCCTTCCTTCCTTCCTTCCTTCCTTCATCCTCCCTCCCTCCCCTTCCCTTCCTCCTTCTTCTTTCCTTCCTCCCTCCCGTTCTTTCCTCCCTCTCTCTTTCCTTCCCCTCCCTTCCCTTCCCGTCCTCCCTCTCCTTCCTTCTGCCCATCCTTCCTTCTTTCTTGACTCCCTCCCCCTCCCTCCCTCCCTTTCCTATCTTCATTCCTTCCTTTCCTCCCTCTTCTTCCTTCCTTCATCCTTCCTCCCTCCCTCTCCTTCCTTTCCTCCCTCTCCTTCCTTCCTTTCCTTTTCTTCCTCTCCTTCCTTCCTTCCTTCCTTCCTTCTCCTTCCTTCCTTCCTTCCTTCCTTCTTCCCCCTTTCTTTTCTCTTCCTTCCTTCCCTCCTTTTTCTTTCTCCCCCTTTCTTCTTCCCATATTCTTTCCTTCCTTTCTTCCTTCCTTCCTTCCTTCCTTCCTTCCTTCCTTCCTTCCTTCTTCCTTCCTTCCTTCCTTCCTTCCTTCCTTCCTTCCTTCCTTCCTTCCTCCCTCCCTCCCTCCCTCCCTCCCTCCCTCCCTCCCTGCAGAATGAATATACTTTGATACCCCTTCAGTTGCTATGGCTGAGTGTGGTTTCACAAAGGTCTTTCTATCTTTAGCTTTCTTTAGGTGAAGAATGCGGATGCCTCACCACACTACAAATCCCAGAATTGCATAGTACGTCTACAGTGTAGATGCACCTCTTGAATAGTCCCTCCCCCCACCCCTCAAATACCGGAGGTTTTGCCGCCCTTTCAAGAATGGAATGGGAAAAGAGGAGATCCCATCAGCCTTCTTTTAGCATTTGAGGAGCATCTACACTGCAGAGTTGATGCATTTTCGACACCACTTTTAACTTCATGCCTCAATCCTATGAGGCCATGGGAGCTGTAGTTGTATGAGAACTTTAGCCTCCTGTGTCAAAGTGTTCTGGTGCCTTGCTGAACTACAAATCCCACAATATCATAACATTGGGTGGGTGTAAAATTAACAATCGTTTGATACCCCTTTAACCAATCTGGGGGGCCTTCCACACAGCCGTGTAACCCAGAATATCTTGGCAGAAAATCCCTCAATATCTGCTTTGAACTGAGTTATCTGAGTCCACACTGCCACATATTCCAGTTCAAAGCATATAATGTGGGATTTTATTCAGCTGTGTGGAAGGAGCCTAGCTCAATGCTGTGAGATGTCATTTTGCAAAGGCCAAAGAGTGCTGGTCCCTCACTGAACTAGAAATCCTGCGATTTCATAACATAATATTGAGTTGCAATGGTGTTAAGCTGCATTAATTCTGCAGTCTACATGCACATTGACTTGTCCCAGATTAATTAACATGGGATATTGTGTGTACGACTCTACACTGTAGAATTAATGCACTTCAACGCCATTAATGTGATGGAATTTGGGTAGTTGTAAGGTCATTAACCTTCTCTTCCTCAACAAACGAGGACTCCCTTGATTCCATACTTTCACTCATTACTTAGGTGATCCCTTGTTGTCTGAGTAGGATAGTCTTCCAAGGTCAGTGTACTGGCAGTAGGTCCGTAGGTGACTGTGGAGTCCTATTCTTGACCTGCATGCTCTCCCATGTAAGGGCATTGGTTTCCAGGTGGAAAGCGGTCCCAGTCGGGGTTGGCCTGATGCTCCTTCCTCTTTGGCATGTTTCTCTCTTTTGCCCTCCATTTGTGCTTCTTCAAATTCTACAGCACTGCTGGTCACAGCTGACCTCCAGCTGGAGTGCTCAAGCATTGAGCCACAGCAGATAAAATGATGCCAAGCTGCACTCATTCTACAGTGTAGATCAGGCCTGGGCTAATTGGGTCCTCCAGGTGTTTTGGACTTCAACTCTCACCATTCCTAACAGCCTCAGACCCCTTCCTTTTCCCCCTCAGCCGCTTAAGGAAAAGGAAGGGGTCTGAGGCTATTAGGAATGGTGAGAGTTGAAGTCCAAAATATCTGGAGGGCCCAATTTGCCCAGGCCTGGTGTAGATGCACCCAGTGAGGATCCAGGATAACTTGGGGGCTTATGCCTGCTCCTGCTTCAGATGCCTTCCTCCCTTATTGTGGAATCTGGGTGAGAGACGGATCCTCAGGCCCAGGATGCATCAGGGCAGGACTCTCTCCAGCAAAACCTTAGTCTATCTGTCTTTAGATTAGATTAACCACAAGAGCAGGGAAAGCAGTGGGTGTGTAGAAGGCACCGCAGACCAAAGGTGATCCTTTCTTAGGTATCAACAACACGTCAGCTCACTCGGAGGGGTTGTCTCATTGTTTTAGGCCACAGGAAGGTTTCTGGGTTGCCACCTTCATTCGAGTCTTTTCTTTTTGTGGCTGTTCCTTCTTCTCTTTTCTCTTTCATCATTTTATCTTGTTCATTTGCCCTGCCCATTGTGTTCGATTTTCTATTATGCTATTTTGCTTTGTTTACTTTATTTTGCCACTGTTATGTGATGTAATTTTGTTGTTGTGTTTTGCACTTTATTTTGCTGTATTGTATCTTTGGGCTTGGCCTCATGTTAGCTGCCCCGAGTCCCCTTCAGGGAGACCACACCTGGAATACTGGGCACCACAATTCAAGAGAGATATTGACAAGCTGGAATGTGTCCAGAGGAAAGCGACTAAAATGATAAAGGGTCTGGAGGACAAGCCCTATGAGGAGCGGCTTAAGGAGCTGGGCATGTTTAGCCTGAAGAAGAGAAGGCTGAGAGGAGATATGATAGCCATGTATAAATATGTGAGAGGAAGCCACAGGGAGGAGGGAGCAAGCTTGTTTCTGCTTCCTTGGAGACTAGGACGCGGAACAATGGCTTCAAACTACAAGAGAGGAGATTCCATCTGAACATGAGGAAGAACTTCCTGACTGTGAGAGCCGTTCAGCAGTGGAACTCTCTGCCCCGGAGTGTGGTGGAGGCTCCTTCTTTGGAAGCTTTTAAACAGAGGCTGGATTGCCATCTGTCAGGGGTGATTTGAATGCAATATTCCTGCTTCTTGGCAGGGGGTTGGACTGGATGGCCCATGAGGTCTCTTCCAACTCTTTGATTCTATGATGATGATGATGATGATGACGATTATTATTATTATTATTTCAGTGTCTCCCTCCCTTCTCATTCTGCAGCACCAGAGATCTTTTTGCTCCATTGGCTCTGCTTCTTTTCTTTACCAACTCTCAGGAATATTCTTATCTTAATTCTACCTCTTTTTTCTCTTCCTTCCTTCCTTCCTTCCTTCCTTCCTTCCTTCCTTCCTTCCTTTCTTTCTTTCTTTCTTTCTTTCTTTCTTTCTTTCTTTCTTTCTTTCTTCTCTCTCCAATTGTTGTGCTCATTACTCACTGGCATCTGTCATATCAGGCTATTATGTGCTACCCTCACATTTTTCTGGCCAACCTTTCACATCAACAAAAGAATCTTTGGGTGTATCTACACTGTAGAATTAATCCAGTTTGATATCACTTTAAATACCATAGCTCAATGCTTTGGAATTATAGGAGTTGTTGTTTAACCAGGTCTTTCGCCTTCTTTTTCAAAGAGTGCTGGCGTTTCATCAAACTGCAGCTCACAGGATTCCATAGCATTCAGCCATAGCAGATAAAGTGGCGTCAAACTGCAGTAGTTCCACAGTGTAGATAAGGCATGGTGGCTGTACCAGACTTGGAAAACTGCTTGGTTGGGGAGTATGGGCAGATCACACATCCACTGAAAACAGAGCTTTGAAATGTCACTTCTGCGTCTCCCAACATCCATTATCCATGCTGGAAGCTATAATACTAAAAACAGAACTTTTTGTGTTTCTTTGTTTGGGAAAAGATGACAGACTGTATCTATTTGGCATGTATATGTGAAAATTGTGATGGGTTGCAGCCAGATGTTGTGCAGGGCAGGCTTGGGTAAACTGCAGCCCTCCAGGTGTTTTGGACTACAACTCCTACAATTCCTAACAGCCTACTGGCTGTTAGGAATTGTGGGAGTTAAAGTCCAAAACACCTGGAGGTCCCAAGTTTGTCCATGCCTGGTGTACGGCTACCATGTGATAAGAAATAATGAAAGCTTCGTATCTGCCTTCTCTCAATTGTTTACCACTGCTAAGTGTTGTACATTCTTATCGATCCCCCCCCCCCCATGAGAGTGTCTTTGTGGGACTGATGCTGAGTGTTTGCATCCCTCTCAGTTTGTGTGTCCGATGAAGCAGCAAAGATGGTGTAAGTGGCCAGTTTCTCCTTTGCTGCTTATGGTTTTGTTTGGGCTAGGCCCTGCCTGGAGGAGCTGGAAAAATGATTTCCAAGGCTTGCAAGTTGCGCAGCTTTGGGCATGTCTTGTTATTTTAGCCACACCTTTTCTGGTATGTTAAGGAGGACAGGCAGGCGGGTTAGGTTTTGCAGATTCACATGTAGTGCTTGAGAGCATCTTTCTGAGGAAGCGTATTTCCTATATGTATTTGCCCAAATTCTTCACCTTTGGTTTCAGTTTTTAGTAAAATCCTGCATGTATTCTATTGGTATTGTACTAAGGCATTGAATGTTTGGCTTTTTTGTTTGTTTGTTTTATTGCACATGGTATTAAACGTTTGCCATTTTTTGCCTTTGGAAGCCACCCTGAGTCCCCTCGGGGAGATAGGGTGGAATATAAAGTTATTATTATTATTATTATTAGATACATAACAAGATTAGTACACAGTAAACAAGATCACTATGCTGGCTCTTGTATTGGATCACACGTTGAACCATTCCTA